TACATTACATTACATTACATTACATTACATTACATTACATTACATGACATGACATGACATGACATGACATGACATGACATGACATTACATGACATGACATGACATGACATGACATGACATGACATGACATTACATTACATTACATTACATTACAGTACATTACATTACATTACATTACATTACATTACATTACATTACATTACATTACATTAAAACAACATTACAGTACAGTATGTTACATGACACTACATTACACTACATTACATTACATGACACCACATCACATCACAGCACATTACATATACATACACATACATTCCTATATTTTTAGCACTCGTGCTCGACAAGGTCAGGCAACACACATTCCCACTATCCTACATGCATAGATACATAGATACATAGATACATAGATACATACATACATACATACATACATACGTACATACATACATACATACATACATAGATACTGACATAGATACAGACATAGTTACATACATAGATACATAATACATACATACCTACTTACCTGCCTACATGCATGCAAGAATATGTACATATGAGAATGCATCAATACATGCGTACATACATGCATACATATATACATTTTTACATACATTACAAACATATATATATATAAGAATGTGTATATGTATATATGTATTTAACTGTCTATCTATTTGTTGGTACTTGACACATTTATGCATGACTGTTCCTTCGATGAGATAGGAGGTTTAGCCCTAAACTTTAAACCCTGGAAGCCCCCAAAATCGTTAAACCCTACAAGCCCTACACCCTGAACCTATGCCTACAGGCTGAGATTTCGGATCCTGCCTCGTGCAAGCAAATTTGAGCGAAAAAAACCCAGACCATGATCCCCAACTCTTGGTCTTACAGTTCAGGGCTGGCGGCTCTACGACTGGGTTTGAGGGAGTTACAGAGCTTCAAACATGCTTTGAAACGCAGGGTTGCCGAAAGGTCTCGACATGGTAACTACAAAGGCAACGAACGCCAAATGCCTGCAAACACCAACAGAAGCCGAGCCTGTGAATCCTGAACCATCCCTCAAGACCCCCCCTCCCCTCCGCAAACTTCGTCAACAACGTCTTCATCCATTCGATTCAAGGTGCTTGGAGTCTACGAGCCTGCGGAAGCCTCAGTTCGGAGGTTCGGCGCGGAGAAGGGATTAGGACCCGGTCTGTTTGACAAAACTACGGACACCTATGAATCCAAGAATCATGCTTCTGATGTGCACTAGACAGTTACTCCAAAGAGTCGTTTGATCCAGAACCGACGGCCTTTAGTGCGCTTGTACATGACCATAAGACTCCAACAAGGTCAAGGACAGGGGTCTTAATCATTAGAATAGGGTTTTGCGGAATTTTGTGCTACAGTACGTATATTTCCATTCGGAAAACGAGGGGATAGTATATTGCTAATTATTCCGACGCTATACTACCTATGGCAAAACATGCATTTCAGCTGCCAAAGTCACTCACCGACTCGGCTTGGCCGGCCGGCGGTGCTGCCGGGGCCTGGAACGCCGCCTGATTCTGTTGAGGGAGATTTGGGGGTTTCCAAAAAGAGGGGACCCTAATATAGCACCCTAAATAGTAGGATCCTTATTATAAGGACCCCAAAATAAGGTACCCCTTATTTTCGGAAAGTCCCTTTTCTAGCTATCATGCAGTCAGCAACAACGAAATGGCGATTTGCCTTGTGTGCCGCCTGTTTTGGAAGCTACGGCCTACCAGAGTAACACTCGAGACGCCGGAACCTACGGATGTTTAGGGTTTAGGGAAGTGACCGGTATGTGTTTTGGGCTCGGAGGCTCGCTTCAACCGGCACCTCCTCAATATATACTCTCCGACCTTGAACTCAGAAGCCATGTAAGCTCCGCCCACCTCCTTAGAACCACTGCACCTCTTGACTCCGGGGCGCTGGTGCTCAAAGGGACCTTCTGCAAGTTTTTTGGTATAGTCTTGCGGACCCCTTCCGTCCTGTCATAATCGGTCTGACAGAAAAAAATGTCGTAAAGTAACCTGAATATGACAAGTCCATCATCCGTACGTACACAACCGAAACCATTTTCTAGTCCATTCGAAGCTGAAACCCAAAGCTTTTGGAATCCGGCCTTCATAGGGCTACCAAGAGGAAAAAGCTCCTGGGACGCTGTCGCCTGCGCAGCTGTTCAAGACGAAATACCTACGACCTGTTTCCGAGCGGTGGCTCTGCTTGGAGTCATGTACGAGCAACACAAGACATCGAACACGACTTCTCTGTTGAACCAAATCACACGCAGGAGAACTAACTACCTAAGAAGCATGAAAGACAAGCCTCAAGGAACACCATGCTTAAGCCCTGTTTCGTGGCAAGCCTTGTTTAAGATCATCGACACTCTGAGAGAATGACTCCGGACGCCACCGTCATCTCCGCGGTCACATGTTCCACGACAATCACACGCCAATCGCTAATCACACAGGCAGCAGTCCTACCATGATCGACGTTAACCCCCAGCTTCACAAAGACCCACCATCATCAACCTCAGAATCACAGAATCACCCACTCCGTCTGCATCAGAATGCCCACCACCATTACCACCACCAACATCTCAGCATCATCATGCTAGTCATTCTCCACGTCCTAGGGTCCTAGCGCTCTCCATCGCGATGAAGTTCGTGGAAGCCTCGTCTATCCGGGCAGTTTTCTGCCGCAGGTCGCGCATGTGCTTCTGGATCGCCTGCAGCTCAGCCAGGCAACATGGCCAGTTTCGAAAACGAGATTCTCCGGGTCCTCCAGCCCCACTAAGAAGGGGCAGCTCTCAAGTCTGCCGAATTTGACTCTGAAGTGATTTGATGTTGTTGAGCTTTTCATAAACGTGAGCATTCGAAACCAACCTACCCTGAATTCTGAATGGCAAAGGCCAATGAAGAACTGAGAAAGGTAGGGGGTAGGGGCTTAGGGCTTATAGGATGTTGTATTGGTCTGGATGCTGGGACACTTCAGCGGCTGGCTCTGGACTCTAGTAAGCCATAGAAAGAAAATGTGTCAAAAATACAGCGCCCATGACGACAAGCACAAAAGTACGTCATTCGTGAAGACTCGTGCTGCCAGACTGCGCTTAGCATCGCATCGACCTCCAAATGTAAGCGCATGTATGTGTATCCCTGTGTGTATATATACACACCTACAGACAGACAGACAGACAGACAGACAGACAGAGAGACAGACAGACAGACTATTTACAGGTTTTGTGATTGGTGTCTTTGTTCGCTATGTGCGTAAGCTGCATAAGGTAGACTCTCTCAACGCTAGACACATCAACTACAGTTTTCCTTCCTCGGACATTTCTGCAAAGGCCTCGGCCTCGGGGCTCGGGAGCAAGTCGAGGATGACAGGTGAAGCCATGAAACATAATGTAAGGGCCTTAATAATTAGAATAATAGGGTTTTGGGGCCCATTATGCTATAATTCTAATAAGGAACAATTGTAATGATAGTATGCCCTGAACGCTGAACCCAAAACTCCAAAGCCCGAGCTTGGCCCTTCTGCGCCAGCAAAGTAGCCGTGAGTTGAAAAAGGATCACATAAGAGATCTGCCTCAGTTGAGTCAAACTTCACGTCGCGGATTTGGCGACTTACAAGGGCCTAGCCCGATATGCATGGAGTGTGGCTTGAAAGTCTTGAAGGTCCTTTAGGCGTTCTTATGGGCATTGTCGTTTGAATTGACTGCGGAGGACCCCCTACTGGGACACAGCGTGTCTGTCCGGTAGTTCCCAGAGACTCCAATGTCCCTTAATTAAGGAATATTCCTTAAATCATATTAAGGACCCTGCAATATTTTAAGGCATATTCCTTAATTAAGGGATGTTGGAGTCTCTGGGTTTCCCGTGGGTAAGGGCGTGTTCAGCCTCCCGATGCCTCCCGAACCGCAGCAGCTGCGGTTTTCTCCACTCAGCAGACTTCAACATCAGCACTGACACCATGAAACAGCAGCTTTATCTATGTAAAACTACAACCGGTCATATCCACCATCATTCTCATCTATATCATTGTCTATTCTCTCTGTCCTCTTTCTTGCTCCTCATCATGATGCCTGTATTCTCTCTGGGCCAATCCCGCCAAACCCAAATTCCGTAGGCCGAAAAAACCCTGGAAAAGCTTCCAACAGCATTAGCTGCGGATGGTTTCAACTTCTTTGGTTTATCACTTCTTTTCCGTCCGCCTGAAAAGGTGTCCAGAATAGGATGGTTTCAACTTCCGACTTCAAGCAAATCCTGGGGATGTCGAAGCCAGCCCAACAAAACCGCGCACGTTCTAAGAAGCACATCCAGCGCCAAACACTCTGTACCGATTCAACTATCGGACTTGGGATTTGGGTATCTTGGAACGTTGCTTGCACCTTTCCGACACGAACTTACCACTTCCTACTATGCTGGCAGAGCACGACTTCAGCCGCGCAAGCGTATCCACCAATTCCACGTACGGAACTTCACCAGTGCCTGCGGTTTCATCGGGTTTTCGACTCTCACTCTCGCACGCAGCTGGCAAGGCTCCACATCATCGGGGTTTGGGGGAGGGGCCGGGTTCTACATCTTTCAATTTGGAGGTATTGTTTCTGCGACAAGATGGTGGTCGCGATAACGATGATGATGATGATGATGATGATGATAACCGTGATGGCGATGGTGATGGTGATTGTGTGGTGATGCTGATGACGATGATGGTGATGGTGATGGTATGACGATGATGATAATGACGATGTGGCGGTGGCGTTGACGATCGAGACGCTTAAGTTGATGCGGATAATGGCGGCAATGACAATGTCATTACTGCGGAGGGTGCTGGTGGTCCAGGTGATGGTTGTTAGACCTGCAATGCCGACGGTCTGTGGTGAGGGGCTGCATAGCACTTGAGAGAGAGGCCCTCACTACTCTCCTCGTTCAGCCATCAAGGCTTCCTTGCCTTCGACATCTAAGACCTCGAACAGCAGGTCCACATCCTCGAGGAACACCTTGGCCGTGACAATACGAGCTGTGGAAATGGTAATGCACACACAGGTGCGAAATAATGACACCAAAACGACCGCCAACTCGCACAAGCAGACGTGTAGCTGCTGATTTGGAGCATGCGGGGCCTCAGTCTTCTGAGGCTCTTCACCTACAGTGATACACGTCATGAAGGTCAAGCCTCTGAAGAACTCGTGTTCCCTCGTTTGGCGTGTCCTGGGATGCCAATCATGCTCCCGTGGTGTGATACACGCTGGGTGGAGCCTCAGGAAGTGTGTAATTTGGGCTTGGACTTCTGGTCACAAAGGATCTTAATGGACACAGACTGGGGTCCTATCCGGGAAACTACGGACGCGTGCCAGGGCACCCCCATGGACACCAATGAACTCGCAAACCTCAGGGGCTTGGACAGGGCATCGAGAAGCTGCAACCATCATGCAAGGGAGTTCTTTTAGCTGGGCTTTAAGTTTGGCGCGAACTGCGTAGTCACTACCTGTTACTACTATCTGGTTGCGAGTAATGGACTGAATACTTGATTATTGCTTGTCGCCTCCCCCTTGTAGAGCTAGGTTGTTTGAGCTGTGCTTGTTCGATGGTTCTAATGATTCTAGCTAAACTCTAAAGCTTAGATTTCGGATTTCGGGTCTGGTGACTTCGAGAGAGCAGCTCCTACAGCAGCACAAAGATACTATCGGGGCTTGACGTGCCAAGCAAAGGCACGCCTATGCGCAGGGAGGAACTCTGCAGCCTAAGCGGCGATAGTCCTCGAGACACTGTTCCATCACAGAACCCCTAAACCCTAAACCCTTAACCCTAAACCCTGTCAAGGGAACTGTTGCGGGTGTAGGACCGCAAGGCTTACGTAAGAGCCAAGTACCCTGCAGTCTCCACAGCTTCGCTTCGAATGGATGCTTGGGCCTCTGAACTTCAAAGCCCATTCATATTAACAAAGCGGCAAAACCACTGGGGATGAGTGATGAAAAGAAGAATGAAGCCTAAATACATCCCAATTGCCAAATCCTCCAGCCTGGACCACTCAAGCCAACAACCCTGAAACCATCGAATGTAGACACATGTGTACATGTTTGTCTACACATATCTGAGGAAAAACAACCACCATGTAAGACATCTGTGCTTCAGCAATTAAAGTCTCCTGTGCAGCAGCGCTTCTGGAACCGTGTCTAGCCTTTGAAGAGGAAACACACTCACCAACTCTCCAAGAAGCTTCGGATTGGTGTTGAAACCCGTCTTGATCTCCTCCAAGTCCAAGCCTTGGGTCGCAGGTGTATGGGGGCGGGTAGATTGGGTTTGGAGTTTTTTCCCCCTCTCGCATTGCTGAGAACGATGCTCACAGGGCTCAGCGCGTTTTGGATGTAGGGCAAAAGTCTTTTTGGCCTGGGTGGTCCAGTGTCAACGGGGTCTCCCTGAGGGTGGATCGAGGTTTGCGTTCACGGAGAAACTGAATGGTTTATGTATTGATGCTTATGGTATCATGTTGCGCCAGTTGCCTCAGTTCTGAAAACTGACCCCAAACCCAATGCGAACTTCGAGGCCCGAGGGAACGCAACAAGCACGTCGCTGAATCCCAAACCTCCACGAGACCGCCCCCTGCTTTTCGGGAGCGGTGCCAAGTGAACTCAAAAATCAAAGGCCCCTTAGCTCCATTTCGGGCCAACTAGTCGGCCGAGCTGCTAGACCCAAACCAACCCCAGAACAGTAATTAATCGGTACTGTAAGCTTCGAACCCGTCCTTGGTACTGTGAAACAACGCATGTCATTGAAGGAGAAGGGTTTATCTGAGCTCCGAAAGCAAAGCTCAGCACAAGCAACAAGGACGGCTGAAACATCAGAGCCAGCCATACTATAACAACACTAAGCAGAGCAACAGAGAGAAAAGCAATAGCACTACCAATAAATAATCCTGGTCAATTTTCGGCGCTGCTTAGAGTTACTGGGTTGCATAATGCAAATAAAAACACGGAATGAGGACCAAACTCTGCAAACGGGAGGCTGCCGCTCTTGTCGCTGTCCATCAACCGGCAGAGCTTCAGCAGGCTTTCCTTGGCATGGATCATCTCTTCCTGCACGAGGATGAGGATGCAGGATTTTAGGGCTTTGGGAGTTTTGGGTTTAAGATTTAGACTTTAAGTGTTGTTTTATAGGCTTGAGGAGTAGGCTTGCATCTTCTCCTGATCATATCACAGGCATGGGGATATAGAATTCAGGGCTTGGGGGCATCGAACTTCGGATCTGTAGCCTTTCACCTCCTCATGCCAGGGGACTATAGGCCCTAGGCATCGCTCACTGTGGGATGGCAAGGGCTTCGTGTTTGGTGTTCCTGAGAGCCCCAACAGGACTCGAAGCGATCAGGGTTATGTCAAAGTCTAGATTACGGGCTCAAAGTGCTGTACAGCTATAACGAAGAGTAGTCACACAGACAAAAGTCAAATACCCTTGACGCACTCCAGTACGCGTCCGAAATCCTTCCACGAACGGCCAAACAGCGAACGAGCAAAACACGTGAGTATAACATGACACCGGTTGACTTCAGCACTCGATGATGTTTCCATGTTGTCTTCGCGATCGCTTGCGTTTTGGATTTCCCTGTTCGTTGAAAGAGGGAATGCACAAATCCGATTCGGGGCTTCTTCGACCCACTGATTCCCTTACAGAGGTCTTTACGGCAACGTTGCTGCATGGTTTGGGCCCTCGTTTGCCGTGCCAGCCCGCCTCCTTTGCTAGCGCTTGCTGATGAAGGTCCAGCTCCTTGGCGCTCGCAGCCCGCTCGACGATGACCTCAGCTTGCATGGATCTAAAAGTCGAGGATGATCCGCAGGGGTGCTACACCGAATCATTCTCTTTTGCAGAGGGTGCTGTGCGCTTGCAGCTGTCGTTGCTCGAAGTTCCGCCAAACAGGAACCTTGCGGTTCCTGTCTGGCCTGGACACAACAAAAGAATCAAAGTTTGCAGTCCCGGCAGCAGCGAGGATAAGATTGAGCATCGCCAGCTGGAGACTAATGTAGACCAGAAGGAAAAATGTGCTGGCCCAAATCGCCTCAGCCAGAAACTCGGCACTGATGACATGACGCGAAGCCTGGGACATCATGCAGTAACAGATGAGCCTGACCACATGATCCTTGGCCTCAGCTGCCTCTACCTGAACATCACAGGTCTCCCTCGGCTCATCATGATCTGGAAGCGAACCATGAAAGCTGCAACAAGAAATTCTGACGAAGTATCGATCATGTTAACCACAAGCCCAACCCCCACACAAACACACACACACACACGCACAATTTCGATGCGGCCGGACTCAAGTCGTAAATCATTTCCAAGCGAATGCACTCGCTGCTCGCTGACCCGTCGCTGTTAATATGACATCCATCTGCGCAGCATGTACGATTTTCTTCTGCTTAAAGCCGTCGCGGTGCAAACTGCCAAAACGAGGCTTCAGGAAGCAGTGGGAGTTTGCTTGACAAGGTGGTATACACTAGCCCCCGGCGCACTGTTGCTTCCGCCAAGCGTCTTGCTCAATTAGCGGAATCGCGATCAAGCCCCAGGCATCTCCCATCATCACAGTTTGGAAGATTGTGATCTGAGATTCCCACACCTCGACATCAGATCGTAGGACGACTGCAGTGAGTTCATACATAGACTAGGGTTTTGGGGGCATGTTACAGTAAGGTTCAGATTATTCAGACCTGCGTATAGCCGTACAAGGAGTTTGACGCGCACTCGGTGCAGAGGCGCTGTAAGACTTGTATAAGCTGAAGCTCGGGTCATGACACATGCTTGTCACCTGAGACAGATGCCTGCATTCCTCGCAGGACTCTACAGTTCGGGACTGATTGAGGGGCGTTGGCCTGAGATTTCTTACAAGAAGCAGGCCCAAGTCCGTCGACTAGGCGTTTGAGCGCCTGTTATACTCTATATAAATATAAACATATATATATATATATATTTATAATGTATGAGTGTACATATAAAAGAGAGACAGAGACATACAGATAACCAGATAGATGATATAAGAGAAGGTACCAGACAGGATAAGATCAACTGTAAGATATGACAGATACTAAGATATGTAGGCAGGAAGAGACAATGAGATAAATAGACAATACCATGGGATATAGTATGATACAAAGACTCGGAATTTTAAGAGACTCTGACCTCTTCCTTTGTGCAGCAAAAGGCTGTGGCAAAAGCACGAGCGCAGCGCTCACAGTCGCTGTTTGCCCATATCCTCAGTTGGAGCACCAAAAAACCCTTCAAGAGGGTTGGGGCTTAGGGGGTTCGGGTTTAGACGGGCTGACTTGGGGCCAGGAAAGACTCTCTGAAGCCATGTCTCTCATTTGGTGATTGTACCGTGGCAAGATGACGGCTTGACACATGCATGAGCGTCAAGTAAATCATGACCATCTGACCATCCCAGCTCCGACTTTGTCTAGACCCTGGAGCCCGAACTATCTTCAACAATGAAGTCCCATCTTTAAATCATCTCCCTCCCGAGCTGCTCTTTGTTGATGGGATGCAGGAACTGAACCTTTCACCGGTTGCACCAGTGCGTATAATTGGTGTGCCAAGGGTTGAAAGTAAGGCTGAGGGAGGTTAAGTTCTCCCATAGTTCTAGCAAGATGGTGTTCGCTGCTGTTGCAAGGCCGCAGAACACCTTCGACTTTGAACACGTTCCAGCAAGAAACTCTTGACCCTGAGCGCTACTCTCCGCCCAACGATGGCTCGTAAACTATTAGTCATTTGAATTTTGTGCGTCTGAACGATGCTGGGGCCAATGTTGTCCTCCACAGTTATGGAGCACAACCCATCGTCATCACCGCTTTGAAAGTAATCTTCAGAAACCATTGCGTGGTTGCAGTTATTGTAGGGGCCTTAATAGTTACCCATACTACTCTGGTGGTTCCTTATTTTAGTCTAGTCTAATATACCCTAAAACGCTATTCTAATTATCAAGGACCATATATTACATGCTTATCTTTGGCAAGGAAAGCCTGTGCACAACTTGCAGGGTACTCGCGTTCCTTTCTACAGCGGGGCTCAAGATTCAGCAAGGTCTGGCTCATGCCTGGTTTACAATCTTGTTCGCAGTTGCCCGCTGGCAGTTGTGCTTTCAATAATGGACATTCGAGAGTTTGCCAATGCCGCGCTATAAATGCCATAACGACATCTTGCAATCTTGCATCATCTTAATGTACCTGGAAAAGACACGACATGAGTTCGCTTTCATTTAGGATTACTGTCCAAGCAGTTCCCCACAACAAGCATGCATATAGCAAGTCTGAGGGGGACAACATGGGACAACGGGGGGGGATGGCTTGCTACGTGGGGTGGGGTACATAATTGCAGAAGGCGGCTGCGCAACAAATGAGTCTAGATACAGATCCGATAGATCCTAGCTACCGCTGTTCATTGGTATTTGTGCACCAGGGCCTTTCTGAAGTATACTTCTGTTTACCACTTTTACTTCACATGGCCGCCTAGTAGCAGGGCGTAAATCGTTCTTTCCCAAGTCGACCCAAGCTCCCACAAGAATCTCAGGACCGCACGGCAAGGACTGACCAACTTGTCATCATAATGATCACCTGGGTGAGGCGTCGAGGGTTTCGAAGATAAGACTGTCGTCAGTTTACCACAAGATGCAGGGCTTCAGTGACTCGGGGTGAAAAGGATGTTGCGTTTCGCCGCTGATTTCTCAGGTTGTGTGGCTACGGCACCCGTATTCAGCTCTATTGTAAGAGACTGACAAACAGCATCGCAATGCAACATCGTTGTTAGGCTCCAGTCACAGGAGGACGGAAATGGTAGATGAGGGAGTGTATGGATTCCTTCATTACCGTTAAGAGGAACTCTAACTCACACTTCCGGCAGTCCCCTTGGCATGATACCTGGGGCAATCCTAAACACGGTTCTCCCAGACAGCAGCTTCAAGGACCCCCAAAATGCCCTGTTCCCTGTCTAGGGGTCTAGGGTGCAAGTGTTGCTCACAGGCAGTGTCCAGACCAGTACTAAGACACGCTTACCATACTACTGGTACTGTCTGGTGCTTAGGGGGGAATGGGGGAATGGGTTATAGGGACTTTAAGGGACCTTAAGGAACTATCATAGGGATCCATTCCCCCATTCCCCACTAAGCACCAGACCGACTAGGAAGCAAAGAGTACCGGACAATAAACATCCCAGCGTACGCCGAGCACTTGACCGACATCTAGCTGTGAGGCCGTGGTGGCATACTGAAGGGTCGAGTGGACCGGAACAAAGAAATTAACTCGAGGTCTAGATGGAGGGGCACCCGCAGGCACTAAAGCAGTGCTGCTATGCCGCCATGACCATACCGAACACGATGGACTTCGCTGCAGCTGCGAAGCTCATCCTGAAAATTCCACGATGGTCAGGATGCTCTCTCTGTGATAAAGACAGCTAGGCTATTACAAGCACATTTGCGTAGTACTAAGGCTTCTCCTACGCAAGACCATATCCATATCTCCAAGATGGTCGATGCCCTCTTAGGGCATCCATCCAACCCTAGAGGCGGCGATGAAGAAACCCTTGGGAAGAAATCCTGAGGACAATCCGACCCACTCAGGAATTGCAAACCCTCGGCTTTCACTTCGACGGCAAGTCTTCAAAGCCAGGTACGTAATGCTTAGTCGTGGACATCACGACACAAGCATCATGCCTGCTTGCTGGGCTCCTTGACCCACAATGGTTAATCATTTCATTCTGGTTGGACTGATAAGGTTTCATGCACCCAGACAGATTGACGGCTACGTACTCCTGAGATACTACGACTTACGCTACCAAAGCCCGTACTCCTCAGCAGAATCGTCCGACTCAGTCTCTCTTCTCCGAAAATTGAAGTGGGGCTTCGGACTCCTGTTTCCTTTACAGGGATCCCTACTTTTTTGGGGACTTCCCTCATATAAAAATGCCAGAAGTTCCCAGGTTTGCAAGCGTGGCAGGCATCAGCCGAAGGGGAGATGGCAGACGAGACACAATAGGATCTTCAACTCCCATATCTGCCGCAGTACTCTGAATATCCTGACCATCTTGCCCATTCGAAATATCCTTGGCTTGCATGTGTCGTAACAAGTTGCAGCAGCAGTAGAGCCTCGAGCCGAAGTTGTAGTACATCCCAAAAGCGGAGAAGTTATTCAGTTGTATTGTAGTCGTGATTCTTCTGGCCCTTGTTGCAACGTACCGCCCCTGCCCATTCTAGCAGGGTCCAGCATCCCAAAATCCGAAAGTCTACGGCTCGGGTTTGGGTTTAGGATCTCGGGACTTCGGGTAGGGTTGAGGGTTTAGGGGACCGCAGTCTTTCATCAGACTTTGGTTCGACTGTGGTTTCTCAAGGCTTCGGCAGCATCCCCGACAACGCCGCCACAATTCGCCGTAGACAGGGAAGTGAGCTACACTAGTCCTGGGGACACCAGCTAGTTTTATACGTTTCTTGCTGGAGGCAACATCTTTCGAAGCCTTCAGACATGCATCAATTAGTTCTCGACTCGATCACGAGTGAGTCCAGAGTTTTCGTGGCGCATGCGCGTCTACAAGTACGAATGCTTAGCCGGCAAAGGGGCACTTTGAAGCAACGACCCGTATTGAAAAGCACATGGCAGATCACAGAACGCGCCCCCGACGAATTTGGCTCGCATTGACACTCATGCATTCACAGCGTGCTTTCACCCTTGTCATGTCTCGACAGGCCGTCCGTCGCACTCACGGTTGCAAGCAGGAGTAGACCACTACCAACAACACTACAATGAACGGAATCCAACATTCAAGAGCTTGACCTACCTCGCACCGTGTGCTCATCGTAATCGAATCCAAGCAGCCGCAACATGGACACGCCACTTCCCGAGAGCTGAAATAAAGCCGTGATGGTCAGTGCCATGTCGAGGCAGACAACCTCGAGATTGACTTGGTCCGCTGCGTGAAAGATGGAATCCTCCTCCTACTTGACACTACATACGACTACTCACCACTAGTTGCTACTACTTCAGTCCTACCATTACTTACTACTACGTAACAAAGTCATGGTAGGGTTACGCATTACTACTACTACTACTGCTGCTGCTACTGCTGCTGCTG